AAAACCATCATTGCCGATATTTTCACAACGCCCCTCATTGCAAACGCCAGGTGAACACTTGTTACCAGCGTCATCACAGGTCCTTCCCGAGTAACCAGGCCTGCAAGTACAAATAAATCCCCAGTCTCCAGTGACCTCCGTGCACGTGCCGCCGTTCTTGCAAGGCCTTGTTTGACAGACTTCACAATCATCCAAACCCACGCTTTTAATAGGATCACCTGAAATTTGTTTAAAGACGTATTCAAAGGGTTATGTCACGCTATTTTCTATTTTTTAAAAACCTATAAAGTGTCTGCGTATCAATTAAATTCGAAAAATAGTTTTCCATTTTTTTTTTCACAAATCACGTAACAAATCATCATGGTTAGTGTTCCCTGGTGGAACTTTTTTGAAATCTTCTTCATTATTTTACAGAAGCATTTTGTGTATGGGTAAAGACCCTAAGTAATGACTTCAGCACGGAGTTGACATAAAACGATAATATCCTTGTGACAAAATCCATTTAAGTATTGTGTTTTGGCAAGAGAAGGAAGAAGATAAAATCTAATTATAAAATTAGGTAATTAAGCTCCACCGAAAGGTTACAAAAATAGTTTCCTGGGAAATTTGGAAAAATTAATATGTCCTTGGAAGGAAAGTGTTGCAGGGCAATACACAATGCGGGCTGTCAGAGGGGATTTGGTGTATACAATGGCTTGTATATTCTATTTGTTTATCTCTCCTTCCCTCATTGAAGGGGTGAATATCTCCCATAGGCCACCCCCAATTACCTATGCCCCCCCCCATTGAAGGGCTGAATTTTGCCCTATGACCACACCCAAACTGGGAAGTAATGTCTAGAAATGTCTGGACATACGTCAGGTTGCAGGTTTTAGGTGAACTTTGCTGGCTGGGAACTCTTCCATCAGTCTTACTGGGGGTGAGGAGCAGATATATTTTTCCAAGCGAGCTCCCAAAATGCTTAAAATGGCTTCAGAAAGCTTTATTTATGCTTTGTTGTTGTTTTTACGTCTTTTTCTCAAATTCTCCGTTGGGTGCCTCTGTTAAATCTCCTCAAAAACTACTTTCCAGAAATTTTAATCTTTGAAAACCTTTATCCAACTACCATTCGTTTTGTCCCTACGAAAATTTCTCAAAATAATCAAAGGAGACGATACATGTACCTGTTTTTCTGTTTTTAAGGTCCCTATTTTTGATACCAACCATTTTTGTAATGGAATGTAAAAGAAACAATTATATTCTTACCAAAATTTACAACTTTTCCGTCGATAGCCAAGTAGCTTAAACAGCCAATAAATCCTGACTTGAATCCCCCCAAAGAGCTTATTGATGAGAAGTCAAGGATTCCTCCCACGTGCAAATCCTGATTCAAATTCAGACCTGTACTACTCCCCTTAGAAATTCCTGTTACAGGTGGCTCCCCATCTACGGTGAGATTTCCTTCCTTCCTGTTACGTGATAAGACGACTCTGTGCCACTCATACAGGCTCAGTGGTTGCCGGCTTCGAATGATTGCAGGCTCAAAGCCAAGGTTGAATCTAAATACGGATAAGTTCTCTTCAATTTTGACCTTGGTTTATATTTAATTTAATTTGTTTCAGACTCTTTTCTTACGTTACGTTACCATACCCCCAAAAAAGGAAAAAAAATATCAACCAAGGATAAAACTGGATTATAACATGTGCATCACAGTTAGGTTAAGATTAAGAATGTTATTTTAAGCCTAAAACTGACATGCACAGCCACTTCAACGTGGATATAGCCCATTTCGAAAAAAAAAATCGTAATACTCTCTAAGGTGCCGGCTCAGCTTCACCATGGAGGAGATATTCAAGTATACTTTGTTAGACTGGGACACTGGAGCCCAGAGTATATGTGGGAAGCTTGCGCTGAAGCGGAGTCTTTTTTCTTCAATCTGTGCTCACGGAAAATGGCTGCACGTTTATATTACATTTGTAAAAATTGACCATAGGATTATAAGTCCAACCAACACACAATCTACATGTAAACTGCAGCATCTTATAATGGTGTGTTCGTGCTAAGTATGTTGATACATATGACGTGATGCAGTTCTTAGAATAAGTCACTGGAACAGTCAGAGAGCATGATGCACCCCCCAAACCAGAACTTAAAGTGTTGTATTAAATAGAAGCTCCGTTTTAAGGCTTGGCTAAATGTATGCAATATGACGGCAGCCAAGGTGGAATATGATAGACTTGGTTAGTATAACGATAGTTTGGTTACCTTGCTGTTTCAGGGTTTACAGAGACAAAATAAGTTCCGATCCTATTTTTGCATTAGTTTTCAAACGACCTCGAAAAAAGATTTGTGAATAACCAAAGGCTTTATGGAAAAGATAGCTTGCGAGGGCAGACTCCTGCTAGAGCTAAGCCTCACAGGACTACTGGCGGGGATCAAGAAGGATGCTCTTCGTCCCTGTTTGTGAATACAACCCCATTACCTAAATTCAGCAAATCTGTCTGACATTCCAAATGAAATGAAGTCTCCAACAGAGCCATTTGTCAGCTGATCGTTGTACAGAATCAGCCCATCCGCCATCTCCGGTATGAACACAATTTCAACCGTGAAATTAAGTGGCTCGTCTGAATGTCTGTACACTGAGGTAGGACAGAGGTTCCTGTGTAAATCGTGGAACGGTCACTAAGAAGAGATATAGAAAAAGGACAGATACAAATGTTTGGTGACCATTACTAAGTTATGGTTAGAGTAAATATCATAACAAACGTGTCTTCTTGTCCTTGACGCGAAGTGTGCTTAGCAGAAACTCCCCAGTCTAACCCTCATCATGACCGCAAGAACATTCGTAGCTTTTCGCGTTGGAATTGCATCAGGAAAAATGTATAGGAGGAAAGGCACTTTAAAATTTTTGCACCAAAACTCGTCAAAATAAAGACATGAAACAAGGAGGGAGGTTAAGGTAAAATTACTTCCAAAGAGCCGACCCTTTGATACCTTACCTTTAATTTCTAAAATTCCACTTCTATTAGCCGATCCTTCAACATTTTTGGCTTCACAGTTGTAACTCCCAGCATCCTTTTGAGTCACATTGGCAATCTTTAGAACTCCTCTTTGCACTGTACTGCTGACTGGAAGCGATCCGTTAACTTTCCGCCATGTTAGGTCTGGAGATGGGGAGCCGCTAGCGATGCAAGTGAATTGCACGGTCTCACCAGTTTTCACACGTGACTTCTGTGGAGTAACCATGACCTTGGGGGCCTCTAAGAGTCAATAGAGTACAGCCTTGCCATTCGAGTTAATAACACAATGTTTAATAGTAACATCGTCAGTAAAACTGCATGATCTTTGCAGATGGATATTAGTTGTAACCGTAGGGTTGGGGTGGTTGGGTGGTAGTACCAAAAAATCCAATCGGATAAGGTCATTTTGGTTAACCGCAGTAAGATTTAAAGTAGGCTTATGTTTTCACGCCTTCCTCACTTGGTCTGACACGAGGACACGCAATCGCCAGCTTTCGCTATTTTATCTTGTCTTATTATCTTGGCTTATCAACTCGGTTGACAAACCAGTGAACCATTGCTATTCCCCACAAATGTGAATGTCTTTGCAATTGACGGTCAAATATTTCAAGCGTTTTTTAGCTTTACTTGCATTAGCTTTAATTTCTTTTGCAGACCAGTAAACGTGAAAGGTAACTGCAGAAAAGAACAAACAGCAAACACCCACCTTGAACAAAGATGGCTACTTCAGATTGCACAGAGCCCACTCTGTTAGTGACTTTGCACCTATATACACCACCATAGGCAAGCCGCGCGAGCGGAAAAATCAGCTGTCCTCCTTTTGAAATGAGTCCCTCGGGCAACAGACCGTCGACGCGGGTCCATTGTATTTCCGGTTGTGGGGTTCCATTCGCGATGCATTCTAGAGTCAAATTCTTTCCTACTGAAACTGTTTTGACGGAGGTTCCACCTGTTATAACCACACTGGGTAGATCTGAAAAGGATATGATTACATGGCTACTCATACGAATGATTTAATGATAATGATTATGATACTTATACAATGACAAAAACGATGAAGATAACAATAGTAATAATTACAGCAGCAGCAACAACAACAATAATAATAATAATAATGATAACAATAACAATTGGATAAACTCAAAGGTATAGCATAATATAATTACAGTGCAATGAATTGGCTCGACATTTGAAAAAGATTTATGGACATTAATTTTTGGTTATTATATAATTAAGCACTGTACTTTGAGAATAGGGGGTCGTCAACCAGACAAAAGAACTTAGGCATGATAAGGGGAAATGCGCATAAAAAGGGGATCGAGATGAACAGAAAGTGACTTCTTTTTCTTCGAAGCGAAGCTCTAACAAACCTTCGACAGTGAGTTCTATAGATGTTGTAGAAGTTCCAGCAGCATTTTTTGCTGTGCAGATGTATCGACCATTATCGTCACTGATAACTCCTGTAAGACTCAAGACACCAGCTGAGTGTCGTACGGGAATGTCGCTTCCCTCTTTTGACCAGGAGATCACCGGGTCGGGTATGCCAGTCGCGTTGCAGTGAAATGTAACATTGGATTTATGCGCGGCTTCAAAAGATCTAGGCCAGGCCACCACTTTTGGTGCAGCTGAGATATCAGAACGAAAGTCAGTCAAAAAGCCAGGACAAATTGAACATGGGATGAAATTGAAAATTGACTAGCTTGTTGATCAGCACTGATTTCCCAAACATAAGTTGATAAATAATCAACATAATCGATATGCAAAGAGCAACAAGACTGGAACGTATATTTCAAAGACACTTTCACTGCCATCACAAAAAAAATCATTTGTAGTACAATATAGAATTTATAGTACAACATAGAATGTTTCTTTCTAAATAAAAGGGAAAAAATTCAATAAATGGGAGTCATTGAGAGAGAAGAAGAAGGGATGAAAGGCCTTTTTTTAATTTGTATTTTTACAATTAAAACTTTTATTACCTTAACTCTTGAGGTATAAACCTTTTATATACTGCGATATATATTTTTTTAATTAACGGCCCCTAAAGGTTCCTACCATACACGACGACGCTTGCAAAGCCTTCACTGGAGCCCGCTGAATTATTACCATAACAGCGGTATGTTCCTGCATGTTTCAGTTTCGCCTCACTGACTTTTAAGGTCCCCTTGTCCCTCACGATGCCGTTTGGGAAACTACCATTGAGTTTTGACCACGTGATTGCAAGTGATGGCTTAACAATGCAAAAGATGTTAAAAGAGGATCCTTGATTGACGGAGATCTTGGAGGGAGTCACCTCGATTAGAGGAGGCACTGGTTAAAAAAAGAAAGAAAAAAGGCACGGGTCGGGTTGTTTATCACTTAAATGTAGACATAGGTCGGTTCACTATTTGTGAGTTTTAAGGTAAAAATATCCAGAATTCTGCCCCGGTGAGAAGACACAGGGCACGATCTATTCAACCAAAATTTCCGGAAATTTCGGTCCAAAAGTCAATGGATCCGTTCGGTCCAACCGGAAAAGTTTCGAAAAAACGGGTCCACCTTTTGAGGTGGACCTCTTTTCCCGGTCGAACCGGTTGGAATTTTGGTTGAATGGATCGCGCCCACAATAAAAGGGGTTCGAGGCTTGGTATGACAACTTAATACAAATCACTATATTTTGTACCCTTGATCCTTCAGTTGTTGCCTTAAAGTTAATGTAAAAGTAGGAATCTATTTCACAAACTCGTTCCATTCCCAAAACAGGCCTCGAAAGCTTGAAACTTGTCTCAAAGATTAATCAAGTTTGGGGAAGAAGGGAAACACAAATTTCTGTCTGGAATATTCAACCACATGGCTACCTTTTTGAATTTGTCGTTTCTCCTAAAAGTTCCTAAAGGTGGTGTTCCATTTTTCCATTGTTTTCGAAACGTTTGGTAAATGTTAAATAACCACGAGTTCAAAAAACAGCGTTACTTGGAATCGTTGATAGTAATAATTACGTTGAAAGGATATAATGGAAGAGGTGTATAACCGGGTAGTAGCAGTCTAAGCTCTTTTATCTTTTGACGGACGTAAGATATGCCTCAAGCGGACAGCCTCACCTACGGCCACCTTAACAAATCTTCCCATTAGGAACTTCACTACAAAGGCATGTTTTGTTACCGGCCAGCTCCCAATGAAACTACTTTTTTGCTTGCTGATGGTGTCTGCGTAAGGGAAATTTGATTGTACTTGACAGTTTGTGGTACAGAAAAGGGTAAGGAAATGTGCCATTTCGTATTTAAAAAGGGCTTTTTTCAAATATCGTATAGTTTGAACTGTTACCAAGTGAAAGTGAGGGAAAGTCCCTTAGTTATTAATCAAAGCGCTTCTTCATATTAAAGCATATGAAGAAGGAACCATTTTTTTATGGAACGCTCAGAAACAGGATGCCTTATTGGTCAAAGTGGTACATAAAGAAGTGGCCTTTAAACCTTCAGTTGGCGGCATCGTTGTACTTCTCCCCTTCTCTACTTGTCCCTGCATCTTCTGCACCAACAGACGGGATCATCAGTATTCCATCTCTATCAAGGGCGTCATTGGGTAAATTAGAACCCAGTCTTTCCCAGACAATAGTCGGAGCTGGTAAGCCGGATGCATTGCACCGAAACTCCACGTCTTCTCCTTCGATGACAGTTTGTAAAACAGAGTTATTTAAGACGATCTCTGGTGGTTCTAGTGGAACAGTTACTAGAAGGAATCAGGATAACCTTAGGTCATATTTCGTCGATGGAGAAAAACAAAACATAAATTTACTTCAACTTTTGTATCACTCATTAGTTTTGCTCTAAGCTGAATAAGTGTGAAAAAGTTTCCACACATATGCCACATGCTTTAAATATCATGTCATACAATCCTCTTTGAGAACAAGTTTGGCCTAAAATTAAAGCTTCCGTTAATTAAAGCAAGGACGATATTAAAAGTTCCTCTAAATTAATGTAAAATGACAGACATCCTGACACAGCCTAGCATGAAAAAACTGCCGTCATCTCGCGACACCACTAATGGTTTTCCTGGAAATGACGTCTGATGAACGAGTGGAGAAATTCTATACTAATGACGTTTTACTACTCTGACCTGGGTAGTGATTTTGGTTGCACTTTCCAGATCTGGGTCGTGACACATCATTAGCAAGGAATTTCTGCGCTCGTTCCTTAGACGTATTTTCGTTGATGGCGTCTCGAAATGTCGGCTGTTTCGTCAGGCTAGACACAGACACTCCGCGACCGACAATAAGGAATCTTCAAAGTCAACATTGGATGATTAGATTAACAAATATGAGAAAACAGTCGTTGCAATTTCGCAAGAAAACCTAAGAAAAACAAAAAATACTTGTAATTCCATGATAACCAGTTCCAGGTTCATGATATGGTGGAAAGCAAAAGGGAAAATGATTTGTTTACGATCGTTTACTCTTCGGATGTCTGAGAAGGACATTTAGCGAGTCCTTAATTTCTCAGTACCTTGCTGCCATTACACTGCATAAGGAATATACCTGTTAACTGCACACTTTCCTGAGTCAATCCTACAATATTCTTTGCCTGACAGGTAAAGTTCCCCTGGTCTTCCGGTCTGACATTTTCAATAATCAACTTCAACACCCCACGATTGGTTTCCCTTACTTGCAGATTAGACCGAGGATGC